AAAAGCAAAGGTTGATGCAACCTTGAATCAGATCATACTACAAAATTGAGCCATCAGGAATCTGCATCTTATATTGATCAAACATCCATAAGAACCACCTTTCCCAATATCTCGAGGGGAGCCTACACATTCCCCAACTTCCAAATCCAGATTTGAGATCAAAACCCCTTCCCAGACCTATAATCCAGAAGAACCCCAGTCCTCCCGCCCCCTTCCACCTCTAAGAAACTCAAATTCACCATCTACGATCCATCCAAAACCAGATATGCTGTTGAAAGATATCATAAGTATATCAGATGATTTCAAACCACTGCAGCAATGGCAATCCTTGTAGGATAGGAGGCTCTTTCTGGCTTACTTCCGTTTCACTTCTAGGCCACTAAAACAGTTCCTTCATCCATCGTTAACCAGGGTTGCATCTTACATCAATCCCAAGGTGTTCAATCTCGTTATGAATGTAAATGCCCAAAATCTTAAATAATATTGCTACAAAATCTTCTCGTAGACTTAATTGACGGCAGACGGAAAGATTATGCATCGAGTCATTCACGACTTCTCTGTCTCGGATGCAGAGCTCTACAAACGAGGAAGACAGAAAAGGATAAGGAAGAAGTACTCAACGTATGATCTACCGTTGATGGCAAGGGAGATGGCGCATATGGTGGCGGGTAGCAGGCGCGCAAGATGATGACGGCGGCGAAGAACGGGAAGAGCTTCCAGCAAGCCGGTTGTCCCATCCAAGTCGCCGCCACTTATCCTCCCTTTCCTAACGATGGGAACTCGAACCCCTCCGTCGTCGTCATCCGGTTCTGGGGATGTCAATTCTAAGGTTAGGGTTTCAAGGGTCTGTGGATTCGCTCACTCGATTGGAGAAACCACAGCGAACACAACCACGGGAACTTTGGCGGGCCGCTTAAAGATTTAAACGATGTTTCACAGAGGCCCTCTACAAATCGATAATACTTTTGATGGATCATATATATATATATATATATATATAACAAGTTGACATTAATTTTATATATTTTGTAAGCATCTAACTTATATATTGATAAGATGAGTATAAAGATACATTAATTTGACATGCTATGCTTAGTCACATAATTTTTTTCAAATTAATGATCATAATATAGAAAAGTCTAATTAATGGTCTTCCCAAATTTATCATCTTTAATGGTGATGAAATTTGTGAATATTATCAATATAATAAATCACACAAACAATTTTTGATATATCATTTTCAAGGTGCGAAATTTCTTAGAGCTTATTCACAACAATGTAATGGGTCTTACTTAAATTTCATTTTATTGAGGTTCTCAATATATGCTTCTCTTCATTGAAGATTTTAAAGGAGGTGTTCTTCAAAGAAAAATTAAAAGAATACATATTGATAATAGTGGGGAGTTCACGTTTTATACGTTCTTTTTCTTTTTAAAGATCATGACATGAAAATGAAACTCATCCAAATACATCAAACAGTGTGAAAAGATTCTACATCACTTAGAGAACTATTGGTCTCATGCAATGAATTTATCAAAAGTCTTATATGCAGAAGGTATGGTACGTAAAACTTATATCATTAATCAAACTCTTCTTAATCTAATCAATCTGAAGTCTCGATATGAGCTCATGTTTGAAGATAAATAAAATATTAAATATTTTAAAATATTTAGTTTTATGTACTATATTCACATACTAGATTTAAAGAGAAATAAGCTTGATGCTTGACTTAGAAATATATCCTTATTAGATATGATGAAAGAAATAAAGATTGAAAGTGCATAGATCCATAAACACATACATAGCTATGTGGTGTTTGATGATGTCTCTTTTTGTTATTTTTCACAAATAGTTACTTTTGAAAATATCAATTATAATAGTAAAAATGATATAGGTTCAAAACCTATAGTTGACTTTTTTATCTACTCCTATTATTCCTTTCTTATGGAGCAAAATGATATGATAAATTAATGATGTTTGTGAGGAGAAAGTTTGAGAAGATAAAAAAGGACAACTATCAAACTAGCTCTTTACATAAATGAATATAGTGTAAGCATATATTTTTATTTTTTTATAAATTAATTGATGATCTTAAGCCTATTTATTTTGTTGAAGCCAAAAATATTAGAATAGTGACTGTCATAGATAAAGAAATAAACTACTCTTAAAAATGAAACGAGGGATCTTATACCAAAGCCTACAAATTTAGATCAATTACTTGTAAATAGATCTACAAGGTGAAATATAAATGGAAATATAGATGGCTACATGACAAGACTTATTCCAATGAGATTTTCTTAAAAATATTTTTAAAAAAAGTTTACAAGAAAATTTTTAGTTTTGTAACCAACATAACATCCGTCTGGGTAATGATTAGTTTAATAATTGATCTTGATTAGAAGCTTTAGTAATTTACTATAAATAATGTATTTCTATATGATAAAATTAATAAGAACATTTATATAAAGTTATCATTGAAATATAGTTTTATTTCTAAATCAAGTTATGTTAGCAAATTTAAGAAGGTCCTCTATAGGTTAAAACATGCTTGTAGAGCATGGTATGAAAATATTATTTAATATTTCTATATTTATTTTCTGAATGATCCTAGTTTATTTGTCAAAACATGTTATTGTTCTTGTATATTTGAATGATATGATCATAATAATAAAGTAAAGATTTTAAAACTTCATGATGGTCATTCTCTTCAGCTTAATATTTTTTTTATCTAAAGATAATAGATATAAAAATAAGATATATTTATCTCTCAAAGAGATGATGCAAAGAAAATTATTAAAATTTTAAAATTAACAAAAGCAAAAAAAGTTTCTACTCCACTTAGATGCAAATATAAAGCTAAATTGTAAAGATGATACTAATCTAAGAGATGATTTGGATACTCATAGATCCACTATGGTTTTGCTTCTATCTCATAATATATAAAAAAAATAACATCATGTCTATTTTAACAATCAAAACACCCTAAAATGGTTATAAATCTAATTTATTATGTAAGAACGAATCATATTAAAACTAAATATCATTTCATCCGGAAAAAAAAAAAAAAAAGGCTTCAAAGAGTCATCGACACCATGGAGGTCAAGAGCAAGGAAAATGTTGTAAATATCCTTACTAAATCTCTCTCCAAAGGATCATATAAAGATCTTCAAAGCAAGCTACGGCTTATCTCTAAAATTATATTTTAATTAAAAATATTAAATTTAAAGGTTATATCTTTCAAAAGATTTTAAGTCTCTATCTATTAAAATTAGA